TAAGTATGATCATTTTTTTTTAATTGTAAATAGTAATGGGAAATGTGAACTGACTTACTTGTTTTAAAATACAATCGTTTTTTTTTTCATTTCAACAAAATTACTCCACTAATGGTGTTTTCGAAATATAAAGTTATATTTTAGACATTTTAATTCTTCTTCAACTCTTTCAGCATTTAAATTAGAAATGGATGTGTTGCAAGTAAAATTTTAATTCAATTTCTTAATTTCTAATTGTAGGCTTTTTATATAATTATTGGCCTTTCTTATTCATTATAGTATATTTGAAGAGATATATGTTCATGTTATTTGCAAAAGATTTATCGTTACAGAAAAAAGAAGAGAGGAAGTATATGAAGGCATTTTAAAATTCCCATTGCTAAGCCTTTAATAGATAACTTCAGGGCTCTGAGGGATGAGGAATAAATTTGATGAAAGATTAAGTCATATTTTATTAAAATTTTGCTCAAAAATTTTCGATACAAAAAATTTCAAAATTCAAAATATTGAATTGATAGTTAGTAATAAAAAAAAAAAATCGAAAGTTGAATTAAATTGATTAACAATTACTCCTCAAATTAATTAGCAAATAAAAAAGTGTTTTGATAACTTTTCATCTAAAATTAATAAAAAAATAGTGATTTTCTTTTCTATTTCGAAAGAGTGTAGCAATTGGAATTGATGAACTTGCCCTTTACTTATTAAATTGATTATTAAAAATATAAAATTATTCAAATAAACCTACTTAGCTGTAACTCTTAATACTGTCACATGAGGTCGTAGTTCATCCATTTGTCTAAAATAATGCACACTGTTGAATTTTGGTGTACTCACGGATGATTCGTCCAAATTTATATCAATTCGTGCTACCGCTAAACGAATTAAATTATGCTTGTCCAATGCACCAATATAAAATGATTGAAAAGTTCCATCAGTTGGTCTCAATCGACGTGAAATATATAACTGAAAATTTAGACAAAAAAATTATTTAAACCATAAATAAATTTTGATTTCTGCTAGAAAAGTATAAAAAAAAAAATTTTACACGTTAAAGAATTCATCATACTCTTTGATATGTCAAAATTTTTGAATTCAATGTGAATGCTATTTAAATTCATTCAAATTTATTATTTAAATAATATTAACTAAATTTAAACCTTTGCATAATAAATATTTCGTTTCTTCTTGTAATTGAGTGCAAAAGGCAAATTTGTTGAATTTGAAATAATTGATATGTGCAGATCTGTTGAATTTGGCACATTTACCATTCTTATTTCATTATCGAATGAAATCACCGTTTCGGGTACGATATCATTCCATAGCGTAGCATTGTATATATTAGCGGAAAAAGACGGCGATGAACTGAAAGTATAATTTTAGGCTCATAAAATTTTACAAACACTTTTAAAACTTTTATTTGAATAGAATGAATTAGAAGTGTGAAAGAAAGGGCCGTTGCATTGTTTGGTAATTATATGTTTAAATTTCAAATGCTTAAAATTTTAATAATTTTCACGAACATTTCAAAATTATCATACCTTTCTGTAATGTTCACATCGATGACAAACATTTGTTGCGATACAGAAGTTTCCACCATAATAGCTATTGATTGTTTTTCTAGCTGCCTTACGGAATTTTTTATGCACAGCCTTCAAAATTTGATCAACATATTAAATTATTTAAAATCAAATAAATCTTCCACAAAAAAAAAATTGAAACAATTGTAAAATTTCTTCAAAATTTCATCTTTTTTTCTTTCTATATTGTTTTGTTTTCTTATGCACCATAAATAAATTTCAAACCTATTATTGATAATTTGAAAATAATGCGATTGATTTGAGTAAGCTAAGATGCAATGGTCATCCCATCTGCAATATCCATCTTCAATCAGATCCGAAATGAGCCATCCGATTGGTGCATCCGATCGAACGATGAAAATTTTTGGCTATAAAGAGCACTTACAACAATTAAATTTTGCAATTTATGGCAATTAAAAGTATCAATTCTGATAAAAAAGATAAGCGGAGATGAAAAATGCATTGCGATATCGTTACGATATCGCAAGTAGCATTTAATTTGCCGCTTATCATCATTTTGATTAAACTGTTGATAATGATTTCTTGTTTTAAGCATTTATATATTAATATATATTTAATGTAATTGTATTGAAATGAAATTATAAATGATTGGAAAAGGATTGAATAATCTTAGATAAGACAGTAATAATAAGCAAACTGCTGTCTTCTCATTTGCATATGAAACACAAAGTTACAATTGATTATCTCATCTTATAAATGAATAAATAGCAAAAATTTTTTTCAATTTTATTGTTGCTAGAGAAAAAGTATTTGATGGTAATTTTCTATCAATTTTATCTTTGAATTATAAAATTTTAAGTGAAATCATTGAAACAAATGAATTATCAATTGATACTAATTAAATTAATAAATAAGTTATTACGAATTTTTCTTTTTTAAATTTACATGATAATTTCATTAACCATATTAACCACCACCATTGTATTCAGAAATTAAGTGATAATATTTGGGGTCCCTTCCCATTCTCACCTCAATTAGCTACATTTGTTGCGCTGTGCTGTTTGCTTTGCTCGATTGCATCAGTTAATCACAGCGGGTGCCTATTCAGGCCTCTCATAAATTACCTCCTAACCTTTTTCCCACCTCAATAACATTCTATAATTTCATTCGAGTCACCACTCAAATGATAAGAGATTTATAAGATTAGTCAATCATTGATTGATTGATTGATGAAAATCTTATAGGTCAAATTGTTCATTCGTCAATAAATTAAACACTGAGAAGTTTTCGATTTACATTACTTTATTTATATGCAACAAAATTTTTCATAACAAAAAGACAAAATAAATATTTTTTTTTTCTTTCATTCATTTTAATTGTTATTTGCATTAATTCAATCTCTACTCGAAAAAAATTGCAATATTTTTACAATATAAAAAGTGAAATTTAAATTGAAATTTTATGATCCACAGCGATGGATGATGTCACCTGTTTTTTTTTTTGCAAATTTTAGCTTTGTCTTTAATGTCAATTAATTATTATTTGTCCATTTAATATTGGATGAAAATTTTGTTTCAAATTACAACAATGAATGGTTTTCCTCGAGTTTCTGATAATGAATTTCAAAGTTCATAAAATCAATCAAGCACAATTCTATTGTGTAAATGAATTTCCAAATGGACGATTTTTACACATCGATTGGGAGGGTAGTTTGATAGCACTTCCGTGTAGCCATTGTTATGCGGTGACGGTGAAGTGAAAGGTGGAGAGAAGATAGTTTTAGTTCAGATTTGAGGGAAATTATGAAAATTGGAAGAGAACAAAATTGCAAATAGTTATGGATTGAGGAAAGGATGAAAAACGGTGTATGGAAAATCGGGACAAATAAACAATATTGAAATATTTTGTAAAATTTTATTAAATTACCATTACTTTCTCTTAACAGCAGAAAAAAATGCTAACCATCATATATTCAATTTTAAATTTAACTTTACGAAATTTAAATTTATCTAATCTTTTTTTGTAAGATCAAAAATTAAGCTTGCTAAAATTTTAGTGATGTAAAAATTATTTTTTAAAATTATTTTATTTACTCATTTAATTATATACTTATGCTATCTATTTATAATATCTTCTCTCAAATAATATGCATTCTTACGTAATCCAAGTAAAATATTCCTATTTTTTTAATGAGTATTAATTAGATTAGATCATTCTTCTTCTTCTCCTCTTACTCTCTCTCTCTCTCCCTCTCTTCCTCATTATTGTAGATGGTTAACTTCCAGTAAATTATTAATTCGTATAACCTTATCTTACAGGTAAATGTCATATCAATAACGATGGAAAAGTAAAAAGATTGAGATAATTAACGTTTTCCATTCTTGACATGAGCACAGGAAGATTATTGGCGCTTAAAAGAAATACCGACATCTTATTCAGGTTATCGGTTATGATATTTGACAGCAAAAATGAAATCGATAACGAAACAAACATCCGTCATGCATATTCTTTTTTTTTTCTCCCACACTTTCAGAAAATTATACCTCAAAAGAATGGAACAGATGGAGAAAAGAAAGGAAATAGCTTCTTGTATGTTGTTTAATTAAATGTATTATTTCAAAAATCAAAAAAAAAAATCTTTTTTTAGAATTCAAAAAATGAAAAATATTTGCATTATGGTATTTAGTTCATTGATATCATATTCATATTTCATTTATTTGTTATATTTCTTATGTTTAATTAAAATTAGCTAATAAATTTGTTACTAAAAATTAATGCTTAAAGTTTTTTCAATTAATGTTTTAATTTTTTTGATTTAAAATTTTATCCAAAATGAAAATTTGTTAAATTATTTGATCCAAATGTAGTAGCTTTTCAAAAAAAAAAGAAAAGAAAAGAAAAGAAAGAAGTGAAATGGATATTTGTGATAGATGAATTGATATATTAAAATGAAATGGAATATCAGACGGATTCGTTGTTTATTGTTTTTTTTTTTTGAGTTTAATAACTTTACTTTAATTTTTATTAATAACGATAAATCATACCGATAGGATAATATTTATTTGTTTCGTTTTTTTTTTCAACCACTTTCTTGTATTTAATCAGAAATGAATGTAAATTCACAAAGTAATCTTTAAAAAAAAATTTTTACAGCAATTAAACTCTTCAAATCAATTAATTATGTAAGTACTCTCAGGCCCTACTCTTACAGTAATAGTACAGTGATTACATTATCATACTACTTGATTAAATTATGGTACCAATTATATCATAAAAAATAATGAATGTTCAATGCTTCCCAAAGATAATATTTATCTTCTAAAGATTTAATTTTAAAGAGGAAAAAAAATTTACCTTATTTTGATAACATCCAACATGTGGCAGTAAATAAATGATTTGTAGTGGAATAAACAGAAGCCAAAAATGCAGCATCTTTTT